ATGTTGACACTATACAAGTCATTTTATTTTAAACATAATGGTTTTGTGTTGCTATAATTATGGCTTAATTAGATTTTTCTAAAGTTTAACATTATTCACAATATGGCTCATGTGAATGTAAGTGTGAACATTCACATTATTCTTATTGCTAAAATAATTCTTACATGGGTTTAGTCAATATGGTTATGTGAATGTTACTGTTGAGATAGTATGTAAATGTTTCCTTTGTGTTGAGAAATTATGTTCTTATCAATATAATGTACTTTGAAATCAATGATATGTTGGTGATGTCTTAGTGGCCCATGTTGTGAATAAATTTGTTACATGATTGTTGTGGATCTACCCATTTGTATGATATATTGTGAACATTCACATCAAGCTAACCTCCAACTAATAAAGTGTCTTGTAATTGTAGTTCGATTTTGATGTGAACCTTAATTATTGGTTTAAGTTTAACTGTTTTGTGATGTTAACAATTTGAATGTTCATATAGACACTCACTAATGTGCATGTCTATATAGCAGATGTTTTCTTAAATTTAGAAACAAAGAGGAATAGAGAGGATAATCATGTCAAAGATGATGTACGTGCCGACAGAGAGGAGCACCCACATCGACATGCGTTGTGTTAACTACCACCAATCAAATATTACAGGCTTAATTAAATTGATAACAAGCACCAAGTTCTCAGAGGCTCAGTTGAACTGCTTGAGGCAAACTCCATTTTGAATATTATTTGATCCATTAATGAACGCTAAGATCGACCACACCAAATGCATTAAGTTTGATGATGCCATTGTGCGCACGTTGAAAGCATACAAGCATGCCAAAAACTATTATTGATGTGAATATTATAGTTTTTTCCAATACAAAATCTATGATTTACGTACAAAACCAATGTATCTACTACCAATGGATGCAAACTTCACATCCTTTTCAATTTTGTAAAAATATTGGAATATGTATTGATTGAACAAAAGAACCAGAATTAATTATTTTGGTTGTGCCTAATAAGGTACACTGGTATGTTATCATAATATTTGCTATTACAATGTCAATTCTAATATTCACGTTGGTTTCTGTTGCTTTATAATTATGTACACATAACTATTAGTTTCATGTGACTAAACTAATTTATATGATATTTTATTCATGATGTTAACACTCACATTAATAATTTGATTGTGCATAAACGCATACTTCATGTTTGTGTACACAGAAATGGTTTGTGGTTATTGCAATGTTGATATTGTCATATTTTTGGAGATTATAAGATCAATGTGAACATTCACATTACTTCAGTTGGTTTACAATTGTGTACACATAATCATTGGCTTAATGTGATTTTTGGACAATGCAATTTTGATGTGATTTTTAATATCACTATTCCATAATGATAATTAACACTTTGAAACCATGGTTTTATCTATATTCCAAAATTCATGCGAACTTTCACATTTGTATGTTCCAGTGTAAACATTTACATTATGTTTGTATCCAAAATATAAATTGAGACTTGTGGTTGTGTGATTTAATGCAATATTGATGTGAACCTTAACATCACCTTGTCACAGTAGTAATGAATACAGTGAAAACATATTCACTATTCAAGATTATTTAGGGGTGTAAATATGAACACCAATCGACAACACAATGACAATTTTATATTTCAAACTAATGTGAATATTAACACTGATTAATAATATGAACATTCACATCATGTATATGTGAGACATATTAACAATCTCAAAAAATTATTACTAAATTGAAATCCAACAGTAAAAAATCAAAATCAATAGCAGCAACAAAATCAGAAATCCAAAAAATCTCATCATATCAAAAAATAAAAAATCATCACCCACATCTTCTTCTTCATCATCTTCATCTTTATCTTCATCTTCAACAATTCCTAGAATTCTACCAATCCAAATCCCACCTCCCCTCTCTACAAAGAAAGCCCTATTACTATATCAGAGACTTTACTCCTCATAATTCCAACACCCATCTCTCAAACTTTCACAAAAGTCCATGCAGAGTAAAACTAGAAACATAAATAGAAATAGAAATGGAAACAAAACATCACTAAAGCTCGTCACCGACTGTGACTATCACGCCAATTTTGATGTGAACCTTAAAATCATTTTGTCACAGTGGTAATGAACACAGTGAAAACATATACACCATTCAAGATTAAATAGGTGTGTAAATATGAACACTGTTCGACAACACAATGACAATTTTTTATTTCAAATTAATGTGAATATTAACACTAATTAATGATATGAACATTCACATCATTTGTATATGAAACACATTACCAGTCTCAAAAATTTATTACTAAATTGAAATCTAACAATAAAAAATCAAAACCAATAACAGTAACAAAATCAAAAATCCAAAAAATCTCAACATATCAAAAAATAAAAAATCATCACCCACATCTTCTTCTTCATCATTGTCATCTTTATCTTCATCTTCAACAATTCCTAGAATTCTACCAATTCAAATCAAACCAAACCCACCTCCCCTTCCTACAAAGAAAGCCCCATTACTGTACCAGAGACCTTACTCCTCATAATTCCAACACCCATCTCTCAAACTTTCAAAGAAGTCCACCCAGAGTAAAACTAGAAACATAAATAGAAATAGAAATGGAAACAAAACAACATTGTTGAAACTCGTCACTGACTGTGACTGTCGCGCCAATGCTGATGTGAACGTTAACATTACCTTGTCACAGTGGTAATAAACATAGTGAAAACATATTCACCATTCAAGATTATATAAGTGTGTAAATATGAACACCGATTGACAATACAATGACAATTTTCTAATGTGAATATTAACATTGATTAATGATATGAACATTCACATCATTTGTATATAAGACACATTACCAATCTCAAAAAATTATTACTAAATTGAAATCCAACAATAAAAAATCAAAATCAATAGCAGCAACAAAATCAGAAATCCAAAAAATCTCAGCATATCAAAAAATAAAAAATCATCACCCACATCTTCTTCTTCATCATCTTCATCTTTATCTTCATCTTCAACAATTCCTAGAATTCTACCAATTCAAATCAAACCAAACCCACCTCCCCTCTCTACAAAGAAAGCCCCATTACTATACCAGAGATCTTACTCCTCATAATTCCAACACCCATCTCTCAAACTTTCGAAGAAGTCCACACAAAGTAAAACTAGAAACATAAATGGAAATAAAAATGGAAACAAAACATCGCTGAATGTCGTCACCGACTGTGACTGTCGCGTCAATACTGATGTGAACCTTAACATCACCTTGTCACAGTGGTAATGAACACAGTGAAAACATATTCACCATTCAATACTATATAGGTGTGTAAATATGAACACCAATCGATAACACAATGACAATTTTCTAATGTGAATATTAATACTGATTAATAATATGAACATTCACATCATTTGTATATGAGACACATTACCAATATCAAAAAATTATTACTAAATTGAAATCCAACAATAAAAAATCAAAATCAGAAATTCAAAAAATCTCAACATCTCAAAAAATAAAAAATAATCACCCACAACTTCTTCTTCATCATTTTCATCTTTATCTTCATCTTTCAACAATTCCTAGAATTCTACCAATCCAAATCAAACCAAACCCACCTCCTCTCTCTACAAAGAAAGTCCCATTACTATGCCAGAGACCTTACTCCTCATAATTCCATCACTCAAACTTTCAAAGAACTCCACATAGAGTAAAACTACAAACATAAATAGAAATAGAAATGAAAACAACACAATATCACTGAAGCTTATCACCAACTGTAACTGTCGTGCCAACGTCGATTTCGACCAGACCAAACTTGATTCAACATTCGATGAAAAGATGAAAGCGATCTCATAATCGTATCCCGTTCATCACCGTCTCTATCTCTGCCGATTGTGACTGTCACGCCACCGTTGATTTCGACTGGATCAAATTTGTTTGATATCCAATAAAGAGATGAACACAATCTCATAATCGTATCCCAATGAATCCCTAGCAGACGGTGATGATGTAAAATTGTTAAAACAAAAAGAACAAAAAATGAAAAACGTATATATCAAAAAGAGCAAAATATGAAAAACATGTATATCTTATTTTGTGTGTAATACATATGAATAAAGTAAAATAAGGATATAATAGTCCAACAAAAATTTTAAATCAGAAAAAAAAAACCTCATGGAATAAAATTATAAATACATGGACTAATTAAGCTTCAAGAATAGTTTGTGGACTTATTAGAATAAAGCACCTCTAAAAGAGATTTATAAATAAATCTCTCATATCAAGCCTCTAAATATTATTTTATTTTTTCACTTTTATTAGGTTCTTTTTTTCAAAGAAATCACTTTTATTAGTTAAAGACTTGAGACTTCAATATACCACCAGCACACCACTCAACTAGGTGAGACTCCACGAACCTGGCTTTTTTTTAAACAGAGCAGCCCTCTCATAGTGTCAACTCAAAACTGCAGAATCGTAACACATTGGATGCCCAATACTCGTATGAGTTTCTACTTCCTAGCCAACATCCTGGCAGCCCATTCCCGCTAGGTAACATCATGGACCATGCTTTTAAAAGGTAAACATCCCAACAACCCATCGCTCCCAGCAAGTTAAAACACTTTGCAGACCTTACATTTACTTGCAATGGCCATCCCCAACTCTAACACTATTGTGACTTGAATCATAGAACTCCAGTCTATCTGATCCCATCCATGATTTGAACTGCAAGACCACAACCCATCCAATCAAAATACTTGCATGGACTGCTAATCCCCAAATGATGCCAACCTTTTGACAAGAATTCACCATTGAACAAGGAGAAGATGCCTTGAGACCAAGCCCACAATTTACCTATTGAAACTACCCAACATTTTTTTGTAGCTCAACATTTTCTTTGGCAGAGAGAGAGAGAGAGAGAGAGAGAGAGAGAGAGACCAAAGGGCTGCAGACTTGTATGACCAATGAAACTCATTCACTTGTCTCAAATCAAGTTGCACACAAAGATAGCCAAACTACAGAGAAAAATACAGGGGGAAAAAAAAAGGCTACAAAATTGTTCACAATCAAACTCCAAAATCAAAACTGATCCAATAACTGAATCCCAGTCATAAAAACAACTCCTAAAGCCCTAAAGGCATCCATGAAAGACAGAGAAAACGAAGACACCACCACAGGCAAATAACCCACAGAAAGAAAGACGACTTAAATTTACACTGGATATAAAAGTTCTGAGATAATTTTAATACAGGAAAACACATTATTCCTGTGGACATCCTGCCTTTGATGATCCCCTCAAGAGAAGAGATTGTAAGAATCCCAAAAACAGGTGAAACCGACGAGACTGAGAAAGATGAAGTAGAAGGTAAACCCTCACTTAGCACCCAAGGTGGGGAACTGGCCGACATCATCAATGGCAGGGGCCGCCGCATTGTTTGCCATGTACCCTCCACCAAATCCTTCTCTTGAACCACCCTGTCCACCACGCCGGCCACGACCTCCTCCTCCACGCCCTCCTGGGCTGTAATACCTTCCCCCTTCAGCAGGCTTCAGAAAATCATTTATGCTGACAGACTGCACCAAAAACAAGCAAATGAACAAGGTTTGGCACACTACATAACGTGTTTACATACATATCAAATACATGTGTAAATATATGTTTGTTGACCATCATACAAATTGGGCCAACAATTGGTTGCCATGAAGATTGCAAAATGAGAAAGACACGTGGAGGCCCAAAAAGGAACCGTGTAAAAGTGAGGAGCTCTCAGGCTTAAAAAAAGTAAAATTCAGATGAAAAGTCCTGGGACAATTGTTGCTAGATGAAAAACGGAGATGCAAGCAGTTGTTGGAAAGTGGTTAAAACCATGCATTATAAATAAAAGATCACTTTGAAGAAGAAAGGGGGTCAACCAGTCGAAAATAGGTGGTGGCAAATTGTGATAAACCAGATATGCACAATCGATTCACTGACCATTTGCCACTTCTTAATGGTGCAAGACCATATGACATATTAATTACATGATCCAAATCAGCAATAACACAATAGACAATAGTAAATAATGAGAGCATCATATAGGAAATCGTGATCCTAGGACACAAGTATAAACAAAGAAACAGATAAAATCGGTGATCCAAATGCTAACTAGACACACAAAGGTAAAACGCAAGATGCAATGACGAGTTCAAATATATCCCATACAGAACTATAAGCATTAGAGTTATATGAAGGAAAAACAGTGGTAAAGAATCAATTGTAGTAGCAGGTACCTTTTTGGCTCTCTCCTCTTTTTCAGCAGCTTCTTTACGTTTATCCTTGTCAGAACCCTGGTAAGGGATGACCAATCAAATGCAACAGAATCAATACAATTACACTTCATAGGCTGGTAGAAATAATAATCAAAACACCCAAATGTCAGAGGTTGTCACCAATTTCACAAAGATTTCTTCATCGCTCTTCTTGCTTGAAAGCAGTTGCATGGATGCAAGATCTTTGTCCAAGCCAACCTTCCTTTCTTCAGTCTTTAGTGGCTGCAAAGCTTTCCTCTTCTCTTCAAGTACCTTCTGATACTCCTCCAGAGTCATCTCCTATTATAAATGAAACATGGGATATCATAAACTATTACATAATAGATGAATGAGTCACAAGCTGCTCCAATTTTAAATAATTTTAACATTGAACTTGTGTAAAAGACATGCTAATCTCATTGACATTACCTACAAATCATGCCATTATCTTCAAAAACAAAAACATAACAATACCTTAACAATCCGTAGTTCAAAAATGAATCACCACACTGCTTGTCACACCACTGTTAGATATTCTGGGTGACTTAGGTTTAAAAAATGATATTGTGTCTAGAAAAAAACTCTTATTCAAACCCAAATTATAGCATGAGCCAACAAATAAACCGAGCCTTCAATCGGTCATGCTGTTTGGCATGTTCTGACTTTTTGGCTTCTTGTTTGACAACTGTAAGAGTTTTTGGCTTTTTGGTAAAGAGATGGCTTTCAGGCTTTTTTCTTCTTTAGGCAACGTTTTCAATTTTAAAGTCAATATAGCCTAGAGGGCCCTAAAAATTTTATTAAAATTTGTTCTTAAAAAAAATCCACTAAAGATGAAAGTACACCCAAACATAAAAGCTAGATTTTAAATTAGAGCCTAAGAATGAGCACCTTTTGGCTAAAATAAACAAGAATTTTAGCAAATTTTATAAAATAAGTGAACTTTTTCGCTTTTTAATGTGTGATAAATGACAAAATGCCTTGTAACTTATTGAGAAAAAAAGCCACAAAAAAAAATAAGTTGTGGTTTATACGTGGGTTCCAAAAGCCATTTTGTCAAACCAAACCAAAGCCAACCTTGTCTTAAGTCCCATCAAATGGGATCAGCTACATGAATCCTTCTTCTCCACGCAACTCTATCAAAGGCCATTTCGTTAGTCAAATTAAGTAGATTCATATCTCTATTTACTACGCTAGCCAACGTCAATCTAAGTCTATCCCGTCCCCTAGCACTTCCATCTACCGTCACTGCATCGCATCTCTTCATTACTGCTTCTGCTGGTCTCCGTTGAATATAATCAAACAATCTCAATTTATTCTCTCTCAGCTTATCTTCTATCGGTGTTACTCATACCCATTCCTAAATATACTCATTCATAATTGTCTTTTCTAGTCTTACCACACATCCACCTTAACATCCTCTTTGCCCAACACTCCGTCTCATACAACATCGCTAGTCTAATAGTCATTTTATAAAACTTTCCTTTTGGTCTAGTGGGTACTCATTTATCGCACAATACCTCAGACACACTTCGCCACTTAAGCCACTCCGCCTTAATTCTATAGAGCACATCCGCATCAAGCTCCCCCGCCGTTGTGATAATCGACCCTAAATAACAAAAATATTCACTCCTAGATAGTTCTTGGTTCTCAATCTTCACTTCTCCTCTTCTTTTATTGTTACTGTTACTAAATTTACACCCCATGTATTATGTCTTAGTTTTGCTCATCCGAAATCCCTTAGATTCAAGTGCTTCTCTCCAAATCTCCAACTTTATGTTAACTCCTTCTCTAGTCTCATCCATTAACACGATATCATCTACAAAAAGCATACACCATGGCACATCATCTTGAATATTTCTCGTCAACTCATCCATAACTAAAGGAAAAAGATAAAGACTTAATGTAGATCCTTGATGTAACCCTACAGTAATTGAAAATTCATTTATCTCTCCAACAGGCAATCTAATAGTGGTCACCACCCTTTCATACATGTCCTTAATCACATCAATGTAACATTTTGTCACCCCTTTATTCTCTAACACCCACTAGATTATATTTTGAGGCACTCTATCATATACTCTCTCAAAATTGATAAGCACCATATGAATGTCTCTTTTTTATTCTTGTGCCAAATTTGGGTCGTCTACTCCAGCTGACACGAAATTGCTTAGCAAAGTTCGACTGGCTCGTACGGTTTCGTTTTAGTTCTGATTTCAACGCGGTTTATTGTGTTGGACTCGTCTCAATGAGTACTTCACATTGGTATAGTCAAAACTTGAGTTTGACAACTTTGAAAATTTCAATTTGCAACACATGTGATCCGTTTTGCAACTTTTGGCGGACTTTGGTTGCTTCTTGGCTCCTCAAGTTGGTGGGTTTGGACTCGTTAAGCCAATGTGAATCCTATGGTAGGTTCAGATGTGGATTTCAACAAGCCGAGATGCTACTGTTATGTCATGATAGTAGTGCTGAGCAAGATTGTGTAGTTTGTAGTCAATATACATGTGCCATCTGTGATTATCATTGCCATTGAGCTTGATGGCGGCGTTATGGCGCCGAGATTTTTGGAAGGCAAACTGTTGTGCAAATTCAAGTTAGCAGCCGAATGATTTGCATGTGATAATAATTCCAAGCAGTGTTGCCGAATAAGAAATATGGCCGAGCAATCTTGCCAAGTAAGCAATGTTCGCCGAAAGCAATGCTCGCCAAATAAGCAATGTTGTGATGTAATTTTTTGCCGAATACGTTGCCGAAGCTGAAGAAGAAATGTTGCGGAATAATGCTATAAAGTTGCCTAATAATGTGCCGAGTAACATGTCTGTGACACGCAAGATATATAAACAATGAGGCTTGTGAAAAAAACAGGAGTGTGCTAAGCACCTTGTCTGATGACCATGCATTTGGTCGTTCAACCGCATTGAATTGTGGGTGACGACTCTGAACCAAGTTTGCTTTTTGGCAAATGTGTTCTTCTCGGCAAAGCTATAGCGGGTAGCTTGTTGCTTGCGTTGTGATGGATGCTCGGCAAGAAGTGCCGAGGAGCGTTGTGTTGTCGAGACTCCATTGTCGAGTTGCTCCCCATTGTCAGGCGAGTTGCAACGATCAATAGCTTACGATGTATGTGTTGCTTGCGAGCCAGAATACTGCCGATTTAAATTCATGAAAATATGCCGTGGTATGGTGATTCATGGAATTGTCAAGACGAGATGCATTTGTTGCCGTTAGCTGGTCGGATGCTCGGCATTTTGGTAAAACTATGGAGAATTTTGAATGTGTGAGGACACTACTTGGTCGCGACGTCAACCACCGAAAGAGTCAAACACAAATTAGAGAAGGACAAGCATCTGAGGATGTTCAACCACCTATGGAGAGAAAAACTGTTAACCCAAACAGCAACTTTTGTTCATTTTGGTGAGACAAAATATACACTCAAGTAATAACTTTGTTAAAACTTTCAATCTAGCCAGAGAGAATGCAAATCCAAACACTAACTAAAGTTTAATTTAGACAGAGAAGATGTAAATTCATTTTGACGAACAATATGTAAAACTCTTTAACATCATCAAACAATGCTTGGCAAAAATGTATTTTGTGAATACATCAAACAGTTTTAAAAATAAGAACAAGAAGCTCATTGATTCTATTGAAGCTCGTCGTTTCCCACAGACGGCGCTAATTGCGAGACCTAGAAAATCCTCACATGGATGTTGATGAGCTCCAACGAAGAGATAAACTTGGCTGCTATAATCTGCAAGGATAAACATAGTCGGCACCACCCAACTGGGGTTGCCGGCCAGAGACACTCCGATGATAAAAGTTAGAATTCATGAATGAAGTGTTTAGATAGTAAAAAGTGTTGTGTGTGGAGTGTAGAGAGATGATTTCCCCTTTTGTGTATGAGGTCTCCCCCTTTTATAGGGAATAGATAATATTTGTTTAGGATATTTTATCCATATAGCTAGGATATTTTCCTGGCTCCCACAATTCTCTATAATTTCTACTACTCTCCTCAAAAGATAGATCGCTTTCATTGTTGACCTACCAGGCATAAACCCACATTGATTCTCTAACAACTCTGTTATATCTCATAATCGAAGTTTCATCACCCTCCCACACTTTCATTATATGACACATTAACTTAATTCCTCTATAGTTATTACAATTCTGGGCATCTCCTTTATTCTTACAAATTAGCATTAAAATACTCTTCTTTCACTCATCTAGCATATTCCTAGTCAACAAAATCATGTTAAACAACCTAGTCAACAAAGCAATCAAACACTTCCAAGATTCGATAAGGATATCATCAGGTCCAAAAGCCCTATGATTTCATTTTCTTAAGTGCAATCCCCACTTTAAAGTACCTAATCCTGCGATAGAACCTATAGTCTTGATTTTTCTTATTACTGGCTATTTTGTCCACTATTAACGTACCTCCATATTCCTCATTTATAATAGTTTCTCTAAATAGTTCGTCCACCTCTCCTTAATCTCTTCATCCTTCACGAATTCTCACTCTTGATGCACTTAACTTGATTAAAATCTCTTATTTTCCTCTCCCTTATCTTAGCAAGTTTGTATATCCTCTTATCTCCCTCATTACTATCTAGTCTAGCGTATAAGTCATCATAAGCTTTCAATTTAGCCTCTCTCACTACTTTCTTGACCTCCTTACTAGCCAATCTATAGCTCTTAAGATTTTCTTCAATTCTATCATTATGCCACTTTTTAAAACACTCTTTTTTTGCCTTAACTACCCCTCGAACCTCTTCCTTCCACCACCAAGTTTCCCTAGAAATGGGTCCTTTTCCTTTCTACTCTCCAAGTACTTCCCCTGAGCTTCTCCTCATACAATTGGCCATCGAAATTCATTTTTGAAAAATTTTAGATTCCAAATTGAAGATTAAAAGTCATCATGGCCAATTCAAATTTAACCTCCTCAATCCCGAGACTGACCAAAGAAAACTATGACAATTGGTGCATCAGAATGAAGGCTATTTTAGGAGCCAAAGGAGTATATGAGCTCGTAAAAGAAGGCTATACAGAACCCCGTCAAAAGAAGAAAACAATTTGACAATTGCCGAAAGGACCCTACTTGACAATTTACAGGAAAATGATTCAACCGCAAGAGAAGCAATCCATGTAGGACTCGACGAACCAACGTTCAAGATTATTGCAAGAGCAAAAACAACAAAAGAAATTTGAAACCTCCTCTGCCAAAGTGAGTTTGAATTAATTCAGATGAAGCCCTGCAAGCCAATTTCTGATTACCATATTAGACTTATAGTAATTGTAAATCA